CTAATAAAACCGAAGGAGTCTTGCCTCGAGGTGGCATTTGGTCACCGGGCCGAAGAGGGCCCCTCAGCGGCACTTGGTCACCTTCCGTCGAGTTGGGGGAGGAGGGCTCGCTGCCCTGTGTTCAGCCCTGGCCAAGGGCGCTTGTGCACGGCGTTGTAACCTCCCCTTTTGTTCCGTGCTTACCGCTCTTCCTAGCCCCGGCGGTACTTCGGGTAACCCTTCATGGGGGCACACATATTGGCTCGCCCGCCGGGTCCTCACTGTTTGCCGTTTGGGTGGCTACTGGGTGAGGGTGGTCCTTAGGGTTCCTCGCCTCAGCTGCTTTTCCAACGCTTCCTGCCAGAACAGATGGTGTAGCCGCAGGCCCGACAGGCTGGGTTGTCGGCCTTTCTCCCTCTCCGGGGTGACCTCCCCATGTCTGGGGTGCAGTCGGACTCGTACCTAGGGGGCTCTGCCCTTGAGGGGCTTTCCCTGTGCGGTCGAGCGGGGGTTCCTGAGCTCGGACAGCCCCTCGGGGTTCAGTACTGAATGCAGACTGCGTAGAGTGGCGGAAATCCCCTCCTACGCCGTGGCGATTTTGCGATTCTTCATTCTTAGTTTCTTCTACGGGTAACGCGGCGAAAAAATTGGTGTATTGATCATACGGGGTACCTACATACGTAGTATAAGTCCGGCTAGAAGTACATGAGCGTGCACCAGATGAAACTAAGTCCTTTGCCGACGCCGTCGAATCGCTTATTTCGACGCCGGCTCGTCTTTTGACGACTTATCGTCCTTGACCTCTTCGACCTTTGTGTCCTTTCCTAATTCCTCCTTTTCTGCCTCGGCGAGTAGCTGTCGTAGTCGTTGAGTGGGGATCTTCTTGCGGGGGGGGGAGTTTAACAGGGAGCCACTTCGATTTGTCTGTTGGGCACTTATGGTCGCGGCTCCATCCGGTGTTTCCGCATTTGAAGCATCGTTTGTCACTCTGCAGCTTATCAATCTCCATCGGCTGCCCGGCACCACCGTATGTCGTCCCCGTGGCATCCTTCTTATCGCCACTTGACCCTTGCCCCCCGCTCTTCTGTGATAGTTGATTGCCTTGACCAGACCCTCCTTGGTTCTGGGAGGACTTACTGCCCAATCCTTGGGCAACTCCGTATCTGTAGTTGGCATCTATCCTTAAGACGCATGCCTTCCATTGGGCATAGGTTGTGGGGCGCTCATTGTCCCCATGCATAACCGTATTTCACACCGTAGGCCTTATCGCTGCTTCGACGGCTTCGAACATCTGCTTTTCATCTCCGAATTCCTCGCACTTGTGAGCCAACCTTTCAAACTTGGCGAAGAACTCCACTGCCGATTTGAAATCCGCCTGGCGAACCTTTTTCCATTCTTGCTTCCATATGGCCAACTCGGCTACTTTGCGGAACTGCACGGTTAAGTCCCGAGAGAATTCTTCCCAGGTGGGAAATCTCCAGTGTCTGTGCGGGTCTCGGTAGCGGTAGTACTGGTCGCCCCACCATTGTTGCACTTCGCCCCGTAGGTACCCCATCGCGAAGGTAATCCGATAGGGGTTTTGTCCTTGGTCGTTCATAGTGTAATACATAGGGAAGACCTGGAAGTATGCCTCGCAATGATGAAGGAAGCGATTAATGTCCGATGAAACTCCGGTGAAGTATTCAGGCTGTGTGATCAACTTGGGTTTTACGTCGTTCCACGGGTTGTTGACTGCCCCGGGAGCTAGTTGCCAAGGGGGAATGGGATCGGGCGGCGATGGCGGGACAGGAGGCACTGGTGGGTTGGGCAGACGAGGGAGTGACCGCAGGCGAGGATTGTCCCCGGGTGGGGGATATGGCCCGAAGTTTGCGGGGACTTTAGGTGGCCCCGAAGGCAGTATTGGGGGTACGGTGGATCCCTTCCCTTTGTTGGCATGGGAGGGTCCTGCCCCTTCGTCCGCGTAGCCGTCGTCTAATCCGTCATCATCCCCTCCTCCTCCAGCGACGAACTTCATGGTTTCGAGCGGGTGAGGCATCGGTTGGGGTCGTCGATACGGCTCACATCCCGGTTGAGGGATCTCGGGTTGAACCCGGTTCCAGATGAGGGCCGCTCGGTGCCAAGTCTCCACCTCCAGTATATTTTTCATTAAGTACACGTCTCCCATGTACTTTGCGTGTCGATAATCCTCCCCCGCCTCCGTAAGGAGCCACTGTGGGTCCTTCTCCATGTCCTCCATCATTATTTCGTACAATCCATGCCAAGGGAGGATTTCAAAGATTGTGGGGATCGGAGGTATCTGGTCCAGGAGGACCGTCCTCACCGCGTCCATCACCGTCTTCTCCAGGCTGCTGTTCGGTGGATGACTGGGCATCCTCTGCCTCCTTCCTCTCTCGGGCGAGGCGGTCGATTTCTCGGTTCCTCCTCCATCGTCCAATGTCGGAATCCGGATCGTTGATCTCTGCCTCGTAGGAGTTCCAGGCTCTCCTTCGCGCCTCCAGGTCAGTTCCTGCTCGCTGGACAGCTCCTGAATATCGTAGGGCTGCGGTGCCCATTCTTCGCTGGACTTCGGCGGGGGTTGCGTCGGGTTTGAGGGGTAAGTCCCAGAGGCCGTTGGGTCCGTGGAGGGCGTCGATCTCGGCTCTGTGGATGCGTGCATCATCTGCTCTTGCTCGGTCCATTCGGGCCTGGACTTCTGGGGCGAGCCGGGCATCTCGAGGGAGTCGGAGGGACTCGATGAGCGTGTGGTAAAGAAGGGGCCACGGACGCTGGGTGATAGGGACGGGGTCGGTGAATGCCCGACCTGCGACTGACGGGGTAAAACTGGGGACTCCGGAGAGGTCCCCGGCTCCGGCAACTGTTCCAAGCTCCTCCTCATTGTAGTCAGGGAACTTGCTCCAGAGCTCCCGATCCGTTGGCTTGTGCGTGGTGACGGCGGGGACCGGCATGGGGTCAGCTGGAGGGGCGGGATCTGCCCCTGTCCCGTGGGTCGGGACTCCGGCCAGAGGAGTCTCTTCCCTTGGGTCGGCATAGACCCAACTGGTACTGGGGTACCAGGCGACTGGCTCCCCGCGGTCTGGAGGCCAGGAAGTTGGAACGGTCCTTGTTCCATTTGGATGGGTGGTAGTCGCGGCGGAGGCCCCAAGGGCAAGCTCTCTGGAATCTTCGCTGAAATCATCCCTGCGCCCTCAGGACGCTGCAAGCCTTGCCCGGTCCCTCGCGTCGTCCGAGGCGATCCTTCTTCCTCGAACTTGCTCCCATGTACTTCCTCCGTAATATCCCCCTTCGCGGTCGATGGGGCGGACTCCAGAATCGTCCTCATCCCCCTCGTTCTCCGTGAGGAGGCCGTCGAGGAGGTCTGCGAGACGGATTCTTTCGAGCTCGGTGAGCTCATCCCCTTCGTACTCGGTATCGACATCCTCTTCTTCGCCCGGCTCCATATGCCCTCCTTCTTCTCCTGACTCGCTTGCGACTGGAGACTGAGCGAAGAGGCCTGGTACGGGCGAGTCTCCTCGGTCAAGGAGTACCCCCCAGGTATCGGTGATGTCGATGGACTCGGCGGATGCGCTTCTGTAGGAGTCGGTGCTCGACTCGTAGGTTCCTGAGCTGGATCGCGACGATCCGTAGAGGGACTCTCCAGGTCCTCTGGGTGTGATGGGTCGGCCATCGTGAAGGGTTTGTTGAGAGGCCGGGGGAATGTCGATTATTTGCAGTGGGTATGCGGGCGTTGTTGGAACGTAATGGAAGGGTAGCTGCGCCCTGAGGTTTTGTTGCCTCTGGCAGCACCGACGTATCTGGAGTAAGGAGATGAACAAGAAAAAGACGATAAAAACGGCAGAGATTGTGGGAATGGCGTCGGATAAGGGCATCCGTTCGTGGGCTTATTTTGTCAAAGGTCTGACAGTTACGGTTGACCATACGACTGACAGGGCTAGTATAGTGAGAGCTGCGAGTACGGCGATTATCAGGTTAAGGTCAGTTTCATAGGTGGAACTGGTCATTAACTCGATGTTGTCGATCAGGAACGGGTCTGTCAATATTAACAGAATAACTGCTAGTAATGACGCGATTTTTAGGGATATATGAACGGGGTTCGTATTGGTTCAGATCTGCAGGTACCCCACGTAGAGTACCAGAAGTGAAGCGGCTAGCACTATGGCCGTGGTGTAGACTTGGATCACAAACACAATCAGGACGACGATAAAGAGGGTGAAGATTGGATCCGGTAGTATTATGGGTAAGACCCAAAAGACTACTGCCACAATCACGAGTGTCGGATGAATGTTGGGCAGCGTTTGTGCGGCGCTGGGCAACGTAGGGCGAGCTTCGGCTAAATGTTAGCCACTAACTCTTAATTGACTTAGATCAACCAAGGATCGCCACTCGCACTTCAGTGGATGATACACTTAGAGGTCAAAGGCGATGGAAAGTGAGTCAGGAGCGAACTTAGATAGTCGCGAAGAAAGGAGCTTTGAGTTAGGTAGATTAAACCTTAGCCGAAGCTAGGGTTTAAACCAGCTGAGGCACTACTTAAATACACGGTGACTAGGCTAAAAATAGTACTGTGGGAACCATCCGATAGGAATTGCACCATAGAGTAAGCCTGACTATGTAATGAAGGAAAAGAAAAGAAATGAAATGAATAAACCATAACATGCCTGAGGTGATTTTTTCCCAGTTGCGATGTGTTTCGTTTGTTCCTTAATCTTCACTTCTCGCATTTGTACTTGGTTGATCTTTCTGATATGCTTTAGTTACCTTGTTTTGCCCCTTTGCTACGGCTAGTAGGCTCTATCAAATCAGTTTTTCTTAATTTTGGTCATTGGGTGTAAACTGTCTGGTCAAAATTGAGGACCCAGTCCATCGACAAAAGTCGTATGACTTTAACTTGTTTAAGTGAACCTGCTCCGGAATTGAGATATGCGCTCTCTAATCCGATTATCAGTCGCCTGGCATGATGAGATGTACGTGAGGTTGAATGTCGTCTAGGAGTGCTACTGAGCATACCCCAATAAGATGCCCCGCTAAGAACTGAAAACCGGGAACTCGCTAATCCTCAACTTGGTCGACTGCCCAAAAATAAATAATCAGTACGTTACCTGATACAACACAAGACAAAAACTCCCACCCCATAAGGTTTAAGCACAATAGTCTCAACACTCCCAATACATCTCAGTTTCGTTGGGGGAACATTAACGAATGTAGCCCCTGCGAGTCCCCACTCAATCGAGCACGCTGATACAGTAATTGAACCAGGTGGTGATCCCTTGTCAAAGATTGGCGAAGGGAGAACGCCATCAGCTGGGGAGGCATAGACGTATTGAGCTGTAGATGGGTCGATAGCGTAGGCCCATGGTGAAGTGGCCTCAAACTCATAGTCAGAGGCGCGGGGCTCAATGGTGTTTGCTTTGATAATCGTTTTGTTGAAGGTTACTAGTTACACCACTGTTAGGTTGGGGGCACGAATAGAGAAGAAAATGACTCACCATTGAGTGCATAGTGAAGGGGACCTCGGTGAAGAGCAACAGCACCATGGAGACGACTTTCTGTAGACAGGTTCGATGGGACAGCTTTAGTGGCATCACATTGAAGAGGCTGGCTGTGGGCACCTGTGGAATAGTGAGCGGGCTAAAGGGCGAACCTCAAAAACCCACACACACACTCACACAACTACACAAACTACAATCACCCTCATAAGTTCTAGGGGGAGCGATTATTTCTAATGCGATCCAACTATACTTCAATATCTCAAAGAGTTTCTCTTATTCTCAGCGCTCTTAGTGAAGCTAAGCTTTCTCTAATGACTTCCTAAGTCTAGGAACTTTTTACAGGAAGGTCGTTCACTGGTGTGACGTGACCTTCAAGGCAGATTTGAGTTATAATACACAAGGGACACTGATCCCAACAGAAACAGAGGTAATACACACCGAAACTTTAGTGAGCTCGCTAAAAGAACACCACAGGCAAGCACTGACTTAGCCTGCTCGCTACACAACTGTATGTAGGGGTTCTCCAACTAACTCCAGCAGGTTATCTCAACTCAAGAACACTTCAGAAGCGCTCGGAAAACAGATTCAGAAATGGAACTTCGACAGAACTGACACGGAACAGACTGAAACAGAACAGAACAGAACAGAACAGAACAGAACAGAACAGATCTCAGATCTCCACTTCAAAACATTCTCCGAACAGACTTATCACACTCAACAGAACAGAAACAGCGTCACTGATTTGTATTCACTCTGACTAAGTTCTCAAAAGTCTTATCAAAAGGGTATCTCATATTTCTCTGAGTGAGCTCGCTAATTCTATGCACAGCTCAAAGTCACAAACTGATCCTTTGTTACAGTACCGCCTTCAACATGTGCACGGAAACTCGGGGGCTCGAAACTTTTCCTCTACCTACTCTAACCAGTCTACTTATACTACAGGGGAATTAGAATTACAAACGTCACGCAGTACCCAGACTCCTACATGCGTAGCACGTTGCCACCGCCGCCTTACTGAGCATCCGAGTCGGACTTCCCAGTTTTAGTCTCATTTCTATAGTGAGCTCGCTAAACGTGTGCCAAGAGGTGCTCTCCCGACACCCGCGGGCTTGTTCTCTAGCAACCGACAGGTCTAGGCACACGGAACTATCAGTTCTGGTGTATGTCATTCAGGACTTCTTTCTTGGATTCACAGAGGCTTCTCGTAGACACGGCAACAAGTGAGTCTTCGAACAATGGGACTCAGAACAATGGAATGCGGGCTCGTGGACTTCGGCCAAAGCCCATTGCCCAAGCTCGTGCCGGTGATATCTGTCAGCTCGCTTAAGGATTTCCCCGGATTTTCAGGTACGGCGCATCACAGTTAGCGAGCGCGCTAAGTGTTCTCAGTGTCAGTGCAATCTTCAAGGTTTTATCTAGCTCCCGCAAGTGTGCTTGTAAGTTAGAGCCTAAGGTATTGGGTATATAGTTTGGCCTTCTCATTACGCATGCCCGTCAGGTACAGTGCTGTGACTAAGTCCTGTTTAGAATCCTGTTGCTTCTTATGCCATAAGTTATATTCCATATCATTGCACCGCATAGCATTAGTGTCGATGCGTAGTTTTAATCCGCTCGCTCACTATTTCTCAGTATGCGTGTAAAACACTCTAGATTGCAAAATTACATGCATAAATAGGCTGCAGTCACAACAACATCATCAGGGAACTTACCAGTGGTTATCTCAGCAGGGAGGTTTAATACAAATTTTGTGGTCCCAGAAGGAATAGTGATTGCGAATAAACTATTACTAGGAGACATTGGTTCGGTCGAGCCTCCGTTCATCGCAATTGTTCCATCAACGACCCAGCTTGATATGCGCACATAGAACGTGAATGCCTTGGATGCAGTGACAATGTATGATAACATATCGCTGAACGGGTATAGTGTATCGACGCTGATGGTCACCGCATTGTCTACAAGGAATGAATACGAGTAAGCCAGATGGATATTGAGGAAACTCACTTCTGGATAGCATTGTAGATGCCTTCAAGGGACCGAGATAAGCCTGGACGAGAGAGGACTGGTCCGCTGTGGTCAGGAATGAATTAGTTATGAATTTCGGATAGCCTTGAGGGTGGTTGACGGTGCAGCATCTGGAGTTTTCTGTCAATACTAAAGAATTTTCAAGAATGCGAACAACTAACAGGTAATAGGGTTCTAATCCAAAGACGTTGGCATACCCACTTCGGTTCTTGTCAGTATTGGAACAAAGAAGAAAACTTCGACACGTACGAGTTTACAGCAAAAGGATCTCTGGAGTATGTAAGTCTTAGAAACTACGCAAAAGAAAATCAAACTGACGGTGTCATGTTCTTCGATGTGATCTGATTCTGCTGTTGGTCATACTGTCTTGCCCACATGTCTAGAGGCAGGTAAGAATACTGTTGCAGATGTATTTGAATCCATCAGGTTCGCTCACCTCCCATTAGCGTTCCGGGTAACGCATTATAAGTGATCCTCTCAACCTAGAATTAAAGTTATAGATTTAAACGAGGAGAAAAGGAACATTCAAACCCTATCCAGGAACTTTGTGTCCCCAATCATCTGGTACAAATATGAACCGCTGAACATAGTCTCCATGACTGTGCATAATTCTGTTCTAAAGAATCGAGGTGATGATGAGCACAATTGTGTATATGAATAAATTAAATACCTACCCCCGTGTGGCCTCCATCCCAGCGAGGTATTCATCTGCTCCATAGATCCCAGACGGTCATCTGTGGTACTCGAACAAGAGATCCCAGCCAGTGGATGCGAGGTCCAAGTCTATCATGTTTCAATGCCAACCAGAGAAACCGGAAAAAACGAAGATACCAGATTGATTATGGGTGAAGCGGTATGTAGCAGGAAGTGCTTTCATGCCCTCTGCGACGTTCACACCATGCCACTGCAGGTAGGATTCATCAACAAAATGAGGAGATTATTTTGTCGCATACAACTTATGCTGTAATCATTTCCGATAGGATTCTCCAGATTCTCCGCAGGCCCACGAGGAAAGTTCTACAAATTAGCAATAAATACCAGAGCAGGGCCTGTTAAGTGACAATACCCACCTCTACTTGAAATACTTCCTCCCATGGCATGCCACTCCACTTGAGCTGGAGCATAGTGTCCAAAAGAAGGTCCTCGTTCCCATTGGGGTGATAGTCATACAGCCACTGGAGGGTAATTACAAAATCTTCCCATCTTGCGTTCGTCCAAACCTCCAAACCCTCTCCCTTTCTAATCATTTCGTTTGCCAGAGGGACGAAATTATGCATGGCGGTAACAACGCGGTCCATAAGCGATGAATTATATTCGACCATTTGGATTGCTCCAAAAAAGAAAGGGTAACGACCCCAGAGGTATCTTGTGCAGTTATTACCTGCCTCGGGTCCGAGCCATCCAGTGGTTTCTTGATGGGTGAGAACATAGTCGAGGAATTGGTATGCCTGTGCTTGTATCTCAGAGTTTGAGGTAAGGACGCCATGAGGCACCATCCCATTGAACCAGTAGCTTCCAGCTAGAGAGAAAATAAATTGATTCAGAAGTGAGTGTGCAGAAGAAGGCCTTCGATTTTTACCTTCTTTGAGGTTGGAATAGGAAGAAAAGCTGCTGATCCAGTCACTGTCCTTGACATAGTTATAAAACTCGTGTAGATGTCCGGCCATACCATTGGTCTGGACGTCAAGCTAAGGAGATAATTCAGAAAGGCTTCAAGTAAGTCAGATGTAAACACTTTACCTGATCGTTCAGCCAACCAAGGGGCCATACCTCACCAAGTGGCAGGGTAAGATATTTCTTTGGAGAGACTGAATTTATGAGACCAATGTCTATGTGTGGAGAAAACACGTACGCTGTGCAACCGCCCCATTTAAGACACTAAAAGTGATACCGGTGCCTAAGATCAGAAGCAAGCACATTGCTAGAGTAGAAAAATGCTCAAGAGACCAAGCAGCTCAATAAGAGACGGGGCAGGGCCAGTTACGTTATCAAAATAGATAGAATATGAACCGTATGCAGGCAAAGAGTTGAAATTATGGTCAAGAGATGAAAGCAGTGAATGCAGGCCTTTCCAAGTTCCCACTGGCAGAGCATGTCGAGGTCAAATCCACTGACAGATCCGACGGCCAACCCAGACAAGAGATGATCAATTATCGTTGCTATACTACTCTACATCAGATGATGGCACTCCCATGCAAACTAAATTATTGAGTTGGGGGGGCTGTGGAGGGACTTTGAATAAGAGTGAAGGAGGTTGGAGGAGGATCTGGAGCCGAACCGGTCCGGTCGGCAAATTGGACTTTGAAGAAAATCAGGCCGATTTCATCCTGCCTTACGTCCCTTTCTCAACTTGTTCGCCAGCCAGGGCTCCACTTTCCTATACAGTTCTCTCTCAAACAATACGACATTTTGAAGGATAGCTCAACTCAATACTCACTCTCAGGCAATAGCAGGTGCTCTCGTCAGTCTGCCAGTTCCATGCAGTGGATGCCCTATAACCATCTTTCTCTAGGTACCATGATAACAGCGTAGTTCTTGAAACAAACCATGAAGTATTGTATTCCAGTACACAACGTATCGATGGCATACAAGTACAAGAATATACTGTGTTATTATCCTCGAACGCATGTACAATGAATCATTGCTCGCCAGCCTGAAGGGATATATTCCTGCAGTAGATCACTTCTTCTGGTGCTCTATCTTGGCCATCTAATTCGGATTCGGGTGTGATGCAGGTATGACTATCAGTATCTATAGAGTCCGATTATTCATTGGGTTACCTCTACCGGACTCTTCTATTTCCTGCCATACGTTCATCACGAACGCGATATGCAGGTCTACATGGATCAAGTGACGTGCCTATTTGCTAATCCCAGAAAGAGTCAGGACACTGTCTTTTACCTCCAATATGCAACCATGAACCACGATGAGGCCCGAAGATAATGATTTCTTCCAAGTATCTTTCCTTGAAGGATTTTCTGAAGCTAACACGGCTAGCTGGGAGCCGTTCTTACTGTAAAAGAGCTGGATAGAGACAGGTTACTGCACTAAACATGCACGGGAGTTTACTCATATACCGTCTTCCTCGCTAAAGCGCTGATATCCAATACTAGTGATTCTGGATCTCCAATGATGATTCAGTTCTTCGACGTTGAAGGCGCTGTTTCAACCAGTGCTGAAGAATTTCTTGGTGCCTCCAACTTCTCATGCAATTCAAGCTGCTCGCACAATCAAACAGCCTAATGCTGTGAATTTGCACGGTTCGCGAACGTAGGACCAGCTACTCCTTCTGACAAGTTAGGCACCTTGCCTGTCAATGGTGGCTTCTCAAACTTTCATTTGCAGTGGGGCAAGCTTTTCCAGGCTTCTTAACTTCGTATTATGATACTAACTGTCCAAAACATAGTCACTCCACATGCTACGCATTTACAAGACGAAATCTATGATCAATGGATATCACTATCAACATTTGTCGAACTCACCAGTCGTTGATGTGGCGTGGCATGCAAGATGCCCTTCTCTAGTCTGCATCTATAGTCAAGGTCATATTATCCTTTTACGAGCGTAAACCCACCAAACAAAGAGAAAAATCCATACATGTCGTTTCGACTACTTTTCTTTTCGCATTATAACTGCATATGACATGCAGAATGATGCTCAGCTAAGGACTCGCCCGCTAGTTGACTATAACTCAATTGTGATCATCGTATTTGCTGTTTGTATGAGCATGGGCACCTGAGCAGGCCATAAGATGCTTCAGACATTGCTCTTACCATTCACCATCTCTATCACAATTCTCATCACGAAAGAGCAGGTGCTGGAGAACCATGATACCAGTCTCACTCGGGATTTTGCGGTTTTTTCGTCCCGTTCGTCGGATCTACAACACATTTCCATGGTTCCTGTCACTGAGAGCTCATCCTTGGTTTTCTTGGCTATTCTTGCGGTATAAAAGGATTCAAGCATCTCTTGGAGAAGCCATCGAGTTCATTTCTACAATGTTCTTCAAGGGTGAGCTCTTATCCATTGGCATCGCAGAGTACGTGACAACTAACTCATTATTATCTAGTCTTACTCCTCTTACCTGCCTTCTTGTCCACCATGGCCGGAAGTGCGCTACCTACATCAGGTCAGATACACCATATACTACTTTCTCTTCCCTATCTTACAGTGATGTAGAAATCTCTGCAGATGCTGCCAGCGATCTCTCTTCCGACGCCTTACTACCCCAACTGTTGGATGCACGCGCCGTCGCACCCATACTCGACTTCAGCAAGTCTAGTTACATCTGGACAGGAGAACAAACAGGGATGGCCCATACTGCACCTGCAGGCATGCGGCCATTCCGTGTGGAGATTCCCTCCTCAGCCATGAAGTGCCCCACTTGCGCGACAATTATCGTAGCTTGGTAGGTTTGCTCCATCACCTCCTCACTTATACTCACACAAGTATGCCTAGCGATGACCAGTGTCCCGTCTATGTCAATGGCCAACAGATCGGTACCGGGAGAGCTCCCCAGCAGGGAGCCGTCGTCTACACTGCTGGTCTAAACCCGGACAGCAAGAACGTCTTTGCCATCGGCATGAGCAACACTGCCGAAGGCTCCGCTGGCCTCATTGCTACAATCCTCGTCGACTACACGGATGGCACAACTGAGACTATCATCAGCAACTCTACATGGAAGACGCTTAAAGGTGTGGCACCCAGTGGATGGACGAGCCCGAGCTTTGATGATTCCACATGGACTGCTGCGGATGTGGAGGGTCCTTCGATGGCTTCACCGTGGGGTGCTCTGGTGCTCCCGCCTGCTATCAATATGACAACTGCAGGGGTGGCTGCAGACGAAGGAGAGTATTTCTAGCGGGAGTGCTCCTCATGGTCATAGGCTCTTCCACAAAGACGTTCACTTCGCCTTATGGGAAATCCGCTGTCTGCGGCAAGATTGTTCTCTCCGTGTATGTCTCATGCTGTTTTCCTTTACTCATGCTCATTGTGCTTGTGGTCTTCCAGGGAAGACTCATACACGCTCTACGTCAATGGTAAAATCGTCAGAACAGGATCAACCTGGAGGGCCATGCAGGCGTATTCCCTCCCACAGTTGGAACCGGACGTGAATGTCGTTGCTGTCGATGGTGCGAATCTCCAAGGAAATACTAGGGTCTGGCTCAGAGTGGGGGTGTTGATTGCGTATAATGATGGGTCGTCAGAGATGTATTTAACAGATGGGACGTGGAAGACTCTGAATGCGCTTCCTCCTGCTGGGTTTGAGCAGCCTGATGCGGATGATAGTGAGTGGGTTGGTGCAACGTTATGGTCGGGCAGCCCTGTTGGTGATGATGCTACTGTTCCCAATGCTTAGCATTCCTCAGATTCATCATTTCCTTGTCCTTCTTTTTTACCTTGTCTGTTTCTCTTTCCTTTTGGCACTACCGTTTGCTTCGTTTGCTTCCTTGTTCTCAGATCTGTGCTTTCACCATTTAACATTGGTTATTCTCCCTTACCCGCCCTGTTTCGCATCGTGACCAGTGCAGACCAGTGTACACGATGACGCGCTGCATGTATTGAGCACCAGACCACCACCACAAGCTTAATCCATCGATGTGGCAAGAGGATTATCATCACGCTCAGATCCTTGCTTGGACACAAATAATAGCGGCCCCAAGAACGCATTCGATAGTGTACATTGATTGATCTTTAACCTTGAAGGTTCTAAGTGATTCTTTTCAGAATTGAGAATAACACAACTTCTGATTCGGCAAGTAGCATCCCTTTTTCTTTCGCTCTACCAAGTGACACTGAACAGGACACAGTCGGGCAGCCATCTTCATCTGGGTTATCTCTCTGCAGCTTGGCTCAGATAGCAAGTATACTATGACTCCTTCGGCTTGAGGCGTAACATGTACCCGACAAAGATGCAAGCACCACATCTCGACGCTTGAAGGATGCATTCGATCTCGTTCCAGGTGTTTAGTCCTTTCCCGACCCTCCAGGCCATCCTATAAGTTACGTTAACGTCCAGGCTTCAGCCATCAAGCGAACTTCAGTTGTTAATCTTCTTCTTAACGTGGGGTGTAGTCATTCTTCGAAGGCCTGCATGCCCTAACAATGCCTTGCACGTCAAGGAAACGCAGGACGCTGGGGCCTATATTTTAGGCCTTTTCTCTGCCTCTTGTACAGTCGTATCTCACGATCCTTGGAGTGCTAATGCACGAGGTCATTCCGTGCGCATTGTCCACTAGTAATAAAGCTCATTCTCCTGCTCTTGTAATATGCACGACGTCAGGGTCAACATGACGAACAGATATTCGATTCCACTTGAACTTCCGAGTCTGAGCATGTTCGGGCACAGTCAAATGTGTAGCATTCAGACAGTTCAAAGTCACCCATATACAGCTCTTCTGCAGGTCGACGTGTCCCTTTCTGCCTGAGAATGAGTAGCATGACGCAGCTGCTCAGGATGAATGGAGGATGCACTGAAAATAACTGAGGAAGGGTGTGATGGCATCGGTCCATGTGGGAACAAGGATATTGGCAAGAGAAATGAGGAAGAGGCACACATAAAAGAACATTCCAGAGGCATAAAGCTCTGTGACGAAAGGATGCGATGAATGGCGGAGGTGCTGTATGCCCTTGAAGAGTGTGAGTGAAGCAATGATCGTCTCTGAAATGAGCACTGGGATGTAGAACAACTCTGGCAAGGATGGAAAGAAAATGAAGCAGCCAGGAATGTTGGATGACTGTGCAGCTGGAAGGTATTGAACTCTGCTAGTTTAAAAGCGCAGATGACAAGTAGCTCACATTGGACCACCTTGAGTTCTATAACAAGGCCGACTACCTCTGGTGTCAAACAACAGACCTCAGTCCCAATAAAACACCAGAATACCGCTTGGTGTCTATCCCATATTGCATATGTGCGGATCATGAGGATAATCTGCGATGTGAAAAACCCAAAGGCTATGAGTGGGCCTGTAATGAAGGAATACACGCCGCACTGGATCGCACTGGTCCTGTGCAGGAGCCAGTTGATGTTGAACGCCATATCCACCAAGGGTAAGTAACGGTTCAATGCGAACAGCAGCAGAAGCGGGTGTACAGGCCGGGGAAGCCACATATAATCAATTTCAGTAGGGAGGAGGAGAATCAGGTCATAGAGGAGCACAGTCGCGCCCGCAGTGAAAGAGTAAGGTGTGACAAAATTCGAGGATGCCTGTATGGGGTGAAGTTAAAAATAAGCAACTGAGTACAGCAGATGAGGGAAATAGGACGAAGCATGACTCACTAATGACATCCTTAGATCGAACTAGTTGGGAACAAAATTCCACTGGTCACCACCTATTCTTAATTCTACTTTAATGTGCATAGAGGAGAGAGAGGGACTATTAAAGAGAGACCGCGAAAAGCATGCGGTCTCATACCGGTCCTTTTAGCGCTTGTGGCCCTGAGATGGTTCACGGTCTGGTGCTCTAGCCTCACCGATAGTAGTTCTTAAGTACCGGGTGGTAACATTTACGTCAAGAAAGATAGAATTGAAACCGTTCGGAGACAAACGTGTTTTATGGCCACCGTATTTCCTATACCGGGAACGCCGAAGCTGCTAGAACAGGTCAGAACACGAGACTGAAATTCTCGCTCACCCTGAAGTAGTCACCACGTTCTCACTGTATCTCTATATCTGTTTGCAAGATTTCAGTGAGCAGTAAGCATTAGTTAAAGTGGCTCACTGAGACTTATAACAGAGATAATAATACGCGACAATCGCCCTCAAATTTCTGGAAATTAGTAAAGGGGGTGATGAGTGGGAACCGTTGCTGTCTGGATAGGATTCGCAGTGTTAGTATGTGTGGATCAACCAAACAAGAGGACTTAAAGCAAAAAGGAACATCCCACCACCACCACCACCAGAGCAGACACAGAGACAAGAAGCTAATGAAGTAATGATACTTGCCAGATTTCTGGTACCTTCCCAGTGCCCGTGGCAATGCACATTTGTCACAGGGATATTCTCTCCGTGATCTGACCATGGAACAATGGACCACATGCTTCGCAAATATACCAGGGCTGTGTAGCATAAACCCACCAATGAGCAAGAAGATCACCTGTCGCACCATGTCAACATTGCAACAAGCTTTGCCCTTCGACAGAAATTTGTGAGTCAAAGCCTCAAAGGTGGTCGAAAGAAAAGTAATGCCAAGGAGCCTCAAGGGACTTTGTTCATTCAGCAAAACGTCATCGAAACACAACATGATCTGTCTTTTCCCTCCAACTCGCCTCTTGCACAGGTCACAGCATCGCTATAATGATCATGGAGATAATATATATAGAGGGAATTTCCTTCACTTCGACATTCTTGTCCAATGGCTCACCTCAACCCTCGCCTAAATCCTGAATCAGATTGGTTGGGCTTGTCACATCACCTGTATCTCCGTTCAAACCTTCGATCTCGGAGATGGTACTCTTTGGAGGTTGGTTTTTGCTGTGTCTATTGGTCTCCTCAGGGTGGGCAGGCGACAGCTTCCTCTTCTTAGACAGCTTTGGAGGACCGCTTCTCCCGGTCAGAAACTATCTGAAGGCAAAAATCTTCAGTAGTATCGTCCGTGCGGCGTCTCGTCAACAGAGGTCACGGTGTAAGATTATAGATGGTAGGTAAGCCTTATGGTTTCAGATGCATTGGGCATGAAGTAAAGCTTCGAAGCATTGTCCAAGTTGACTCTCTTGTATCCGTCCATTACGTTGCATGCGATCATTAATTTGGGACATCCGTATCGTAATTATAGCTGTACATAAGAGCATCCGCGCGAGGGTTAACCAATGCATATAGAGTGCCATATCATTCATTCTGGCTACACAGAAGTGGCATGAGATTAATTGCCTGATTTGAGGGAAAGTATCACCTTCATGTCTAGTACGTCCCGTGTTGAACCATTTGCCTTGGGAAGAAGTGCGATGGTCTTCTTGCTTTCGCCTCCTTCGGGACCCCCAGAAGATTCTGCATTTGTGCTGGTCTGTGTTTCTCGAAGCTCGACATTCAATCCACCATGTAACAAATCAAAAGACTCATATGAGTGAAGAGTTGCATCTTCCCTCCCTCCGCGAATCTGCATTGTCATACGACTGTTGCAAACAGCAAGGATGGTATTCAAATAAACCTTTACCAAGCAGATTGCCGGAACAGTGTGGTAGTTGTTATTAGGATATGCGAGAAAGAGCGCGATATCAATGACAGCGAGTGTAGCTGCAAAGGCAACAAATAAGCCAATTGATCCAGATTCATGGTATATGATTGACCTGTTGCTGTCCTGGTTTTGATGGTTAGTCGTATCAGCCTGGAAATAAGTACCTGAGTAGATTTGAGACCGGTGTGAGCTTGACTTAACTCTAGGCAACAATGATCAGTCGAGACCTAAATGCTATTCCCATACTTCACTTACAAGATAAGTCATGCATAAAGCAATGGCAGCATCACATAAAGTGCTCCACCCAACCATATCTGCAAATCGTCAATGGTCAAAGGGGAGGGGGGGGGGGGGGCACAACGACAACCCTGCTCACCATTGTAGCCACTTTGATCGTCAAGTTTGTCTGAAGGTCTGAGTAGTGGTCATGACTCTGTGCTGTAATGCCACAACCAATAGCACCCACAAATTGAATAAAAGTGAACTTTGATGAGGATCGAGATTTGGTTCATTAGAAAGCGGCCACCATGCATTTACGAACAAAGCTTACCATTGACAGAGTAAGACTTATCCATCGCGTCTTCTTGCTGAATTTATACATTCGCCAGGCATAGAATAATTGACAGACACAGCCAACTACAACTATTTCAGTAACTCGAAGCGTAATTAGGCATAAAGAAAAGTGCGCACCAAATCCAGAGAGAATGAGAATGTTGAACCATGTGAGATGTACATTGTCAAGTTCAAAAAGGTTCCCAAAGTCGTAACAGAAGATGTCGAACATATCGGAAATATTGATAACAGTCTGAACAGTCTCGACAAGCCAGAGAACATATACGATGCTCTTTGTCACCAGATGGTCTTTCGGAAAGGAGATATAGTATATGTCTAAAAGAACAGTCAAGAACATGCGTACGATGATAGGGATATGTCCACTAACAGACTTGATCACACAGAACACCATATAATGTGAGATTTAGAAAGGTGCTGATTAACTGCATGAAAGATGAGTGTCGATGAGCGACCACCGCTTTTCCTATATCAAGGATTGAATGCATACCAAAGGACCTGTTCTGAGGTATTGGAGTCAGGACAGACTAGCCTGCAAACGTGAAAGCGTTACCGACATCTTATATAA